ATATTTACATCTATTAAATAAAATGATTATAAAAATAAAAATTGTGCCATAAACAAAAATTATTTTTGAGCTATTAATTTTTTTTTAAAGATATTTTTTAGACATCACTTTACAGCTAACTAAATAAATTATTTACAATTAAGTATTAAATAAAATGATTATAAAAATAAAAATTGTGCCATAAACAAAAATTATTTTTGAGTTACTGATTTTATTTATTTTTTTAAAAGACATTTTTAGGCAACATATTATGGTAACTGTTAGGTTTTTATTCTTGGCAACCCCGTTTGACAAAACTCCTTTCAGTTGTATTTATTTTTGCACTTTTATTTCAGTGAGGCTATGAGTTTATTAGATGCGAATCCAACCCGAATTGTGCCGTTCAGAGAAGTTTGTGATGTTAATGCTTTCAAGATTGCCACTTCGCTGATTATGACGGGAGTCGAGCTGCCCGGTTAGCTCGCGGCCGAAGTAAATTGCAAAATTGCATTCAAAATTGCATGTCCACCCATGTTCGCTCGAGCCAAGGAATGCTCGCTCGAGCGACTTTCGCTCGAGTTGCGTCCATACAAAAACCTGAAAGAGTGGTGTGCTCGCTCGAGCCAACGATTCGTCGCTTGAGCCAAGGCACTTGTAGAAATCACGAAAGTTAAGGTTCTCGCTCGAGCGAGAGAAGCTTCGCTCGAGCGAGCTTCAAATTCGGATTTCTATAGGAGTTGGTTTTCTTCCAAAACTAGGATTACTTTGGTTTTCTATAAATAGTTGGTTTTCTCCCAAATCTAAGAAAACTCCTCTAGATCTTCTTTTTGGGTTCTAAGGTTTATATCTGGGGATTTTTTGCTAGTTTTCTTTGATGTTTTGATTGAGTATTCAACTCATGGTTTAAGAAGCATACATCAAAGGTTTGTTTGTTGATTCTACACAAAAGAAATAGTTGTTCTTTGGTGGATTCTGAAGAATTCAAGCTTGAACCTTTGGTGGATTCCGGAGTGGCTCATCGTCAAGACAATTTCGAGGTGAAGATGGGGTTGGAAGAGGCACATAGAGGTTGGTTTAATTCGGGCGTGGATTAGCTAGGTAATTGAGAGTATACTTGTGCAATTCCTTTATATCTTTTTAGTGGATTGTTTTGTGGCTGTTGCCCGTGGTTTTTTTTATCACAATTGGAGATGTCAAATTATGGTTTTTCCGTGTAAAATCGTTGTGTCGATTTGTCTTGATTGTTTGATTGGGATTGTTGTTTACTGCTTAAAATTGATACATAATCACAAATCAACATCTAGGAGATTTCTAGATTTTTCAGTAACAAAATAAAAAATATTTACAATCAAATATTAAATGAAATAATTATAAAAATAAATACAAGCACTATTTATATATTTTTTTATTTTTCATGCTAATGTTATGAAATAAAATTTTTAAAAAAATTATAAAGAAAAAAAAATTCATACAATATTTTTTCTTTGGGCTTGGATCACTAGAGTATTCGCTTATTTTTTTGTTAACTTATTTTTTTGTTGAGAGAAAGCTATTCAGAATATTGTAAAAGTGTGTAACAGGCCATTATGGCCGTTGCGGTACCGCTATAGCCGTTATGAAACACTGAAATGGTTGTTACACATACGAATTTCCGTCACACTGTAAAAACGGATGTAACAGATAACTCCTACCATCGCAACCATTATATAACGGCCGCCACCATTATGTAATACCACTTTTTTGAAACCTTGCATATAGCACATACACGATCAATTATCAATTTACCATTAAATTATGGCTTATGTAATTGAACTTTATTACATTAAACTGTCTTATGTAATCAAACTTTATTTTGCATAATGGTAGTATTGGTGCTTTACCTTGCAAATTATCAGCAAAGTAGTAAATTGTTATTCCTTTATTGTTATAATTGTCTGATATGTTCTTTTTTTCCCCCAAATGTCTCAATTAGTTTAGACAAAAAAAAAAAAAAAAAAAATGAAAATGAACTTACTTCTAAGCAAAATGGCGTCGTTTGATAGAGCTGTGGGAAAGTAATTATAGATTATAGCTTACAGCTATGAATATAAACTAGTAACCTGTTTGGTGCAGTTGTGAGATTATGCATTTAAGCAGCAGAGTAGTGTTTGGTAAATAAACTGTAAAATAGTTTTTTGGTGTATAATTGTCATTTTTGCCCTTATAAACATAAAAATTGTAATTTTGTCATTTTCTTCACTTTAAATTTTGAAAAAGTTATTTCATTAATGGAAGTTGATGTAATTAGTACCTAATTTGGTACATTTTTCCATTACCTCAATTTTATTTTATTTTTTTTAATATTAAGTTCACAAGGGAACAAGAAAATGTCATTGCAATAAAAATACAATAAATCACTATGAAGTCAATAAAAATAAAACTTCCATCTCGTTGTCATCGCCCGCAACATCATTTCCATGGCGTGCTTGTTGAGATGAAGATCCTTCATCTTCATTAGGCACATAATCTGTGAATCTATCATAAGAGTCAAATGCAATATCGTGGAACTCACTTCGTCGAATGAAATTATGAATTGCCATTGTTGCACAAACAAGTTTGACTTGGGTTTGTCACTTGTAGTTTGGTGGGATATCATTTATCATCGGCTATCTTGCTTTCCAAGCCCCAAACGTTCTTTCTATTATACTTCTAAGTGATGAATGTGCTTGGCTGAATTTTTCTTATGCATTTGGGGGGGTTGACCATGTTCAAATTGAGCTAGATGGTATCTCTCTCTTTTGTAAGATGCAAAATATCCTTTCATGTTTGGATACCCAACATCCACCATGTAAAACTCGTCTATTTTAAAATTCCAAAATGAAATTAAAGTAAGCAATTCGAAATGTAAATATAAATATGAAGATGTGAGTGCGGTGCATCTACTGTAACAATCAAATATAAAACAGTTACCTCCTTCTAGTTTTGAAAAATTATAACTAGGATTCCTAATTGTATCTAAGAAGATCCAAGTATCGTGTACACTTTCTTCCCATCCTAGCAAGTAAAATATGAAACACAAATCGAAGTTACATACGGCCATTATGTTTTGAGTCGCATAGCATGCACTAAAAAAGTACATTTTTTTGCATACATACACTTATTTGGTCACATCAATCAACATCTATCAATATATCTTCTCTACTTTTCTACCCACTTTCTCTATTTTTCTACACATTTTTTTTATAAAAAATAAAAAAATATACTTATTTAGAATATTCTAAACCACCTCTAAATCGGAATTGTGGAGGTATAGTTCATCCTTGGTCATATCATGTTCTTCATTGTTGGTCTCTCTGAGCTGTCATCCACAAATCCCCTATTTCTTTTGTGTAGGGTTTTAATATATCACTACAACAAAAATATACTTTAGTAACATTATATTAGTGGCATGTTTTTAAAAATTGTCACATAAAGAATATTTAGTGGCATGTTTTAAAAAAATATCACAAAGCTACAAACATAAAAGGCTCTAATGGCATTTCAATGAAGAAGTGCCACATCACTACAACAAAATGTGATCTAATAGTATCAATTTTATGGCATTTTATAAAAGAGTGACACAATAAATTATTTTAGTGATATTTATCAACAAACCACTAAACTTTAGTAGTAGGGGTGCTCGCGGATCGGTTTTGCGCAATTTGCGGTTTGGTTTTGACCTGGTTGCATCTATGCGGTTTGAAAAAAAATCAACCCGCAATTGCCCGCAGTGCGATTTGCGGTTTGTGCGGATAGGGTTTGCAGATGTGCGGGCGGTTTGCGGTTTACACTTTTTTCTTTAAAAATTAATTTTTTGAGATTTTTTTTTTCCACCGAATTTAGGCATCAGATTCATTTTATATATTTGTGATCATTTGACAACAATTTTCTGATGAATTTACAAATAAAAATTGAATATCAATGCATTAAATGAAAGTACCCAAAACAAAGAGACCCTACACTAGCATTTTTGTCATGAAAAAAATGTATATCAATGCATTAAAAAATGTATGTCAATGCATTAAAAGTTGTACTCAATTAGAATTGCTAGTTCAATAATCAATAATCAAACTAGAAGTTCCATCGACTACCAGAAGAAAAATTTTATTAGGAAAAAGTGGATGAGTCACCAATGAAAATCATATAAGAAACCAAGTTTAGGACTTGATAATTCTACGACATTCAGAAAGTTGAGAAATACTTAAAAATAAGGATCCTAGTGTCATAGAGAATATAATGGTGCTCTTGTTAAAGTTACAAGTTGGTATATAATAATAATAATAATTAAAGTGCGGGCGGTTTTTACAGGTTGCGGGTTTAACCCACGACCCGCCCGCAACCTGCAAATTTATCATATTTAAAACCGTATCCGCCCGCATTATGTTTGCGAAACTGCCTATTTATATGTGGGTTGGGCGGTTCGAGCGGTTTGGATAAACCGTTGCTCACCCCTATTTAGTAGTAATGGCATTTTTAAAAAAATGTCACTAAATTAAGTAGATGTAAGTTACTTTTATTGTCTTAAATAAAAAGTGTCACAAACAAATATTGTATGGCATTTTGAGAAATGCCACTAAGCTAAAAAAACTTCAAGATATCTAATGTCAAAAAATAAATTAAACTCAATATAACATGCTATCAATTGGACCAATTTGAGATAAAATAAAAAATTTAATATTAAAATCAATTCAATTATAATTAAAAAATTAAAATGAAGACAATAGCAAGGGACTAATAATGTAATTTGCCCTAATTTTAGTATTATTTAATGAAAAATATGCATGCAAGTGACATATATCATTCTTTGAGGTAAAATAATAAATTTGCTTAACTTGGTGAGTTAATTTTCAGTGAACATTTTTTATCAAAAATACTAAATGGTATTGTTAATTGAACCAAATTAACAAAAATTTTTTATTAAAAGTTAAAATTAATCTAAATAAAAATATAAAATTTTGATATCTATTTCTTATTTAAAATGTGAACAAATTTGTTTATACACAGCTATCCATGCTTCACTTCATTGCTCCACCAGGAAACACGGCAAAGAGGCAGAATCTGTAGAGCAATATTTGCAGAGCAGCTAGGGTTAGAGGCAAAGAGGCAAAAGAGAACAGTTAGAGAGAGAGAGAGATGGGCAGTTCGGATAAGGGAACAGGTGTGGTTGATTGCACTGTTGGAACAATTGTCTGGGTTCGGCGACGGAATGGCTGGTGGTGGCCTGGTAAGATTCTCGGTCCTGAGGAGCTCTCAGCTGCTCATCTCATGTCTCCGCGATCTGAGACTCCAGTCAAGCTTCTTGGAAGGGAAGATGCCAGCGTGTAATTCTGTTTATTCCCTCTCTCTGTGTGCGTGGGTGTGTATACAAGATATATGCATATTACACTTGAATCTTGTGATTACATGTTTTTAGCCATGTTCATTTGCTCATTGCTGCAAATTGACTGTGGTTTGTGAATTTTTGGGTATTTGTTTAAGCTTTGCATGATCAGCTGTTGTGATTAATGGGTTCATCAATATTTATTGAATGGTTGTTAATGACATCAATGGATGGGTACATATCGTGTTAGTTTAATTATTATTATTTTTTTTTTGGATAAATAACAGGAAGGGTGCCTTTTCAGCATGAATCTGCAAATTGTCTTGAGTAGAGTTGTTATATAATTAGGCTATGGATATTTTATGCCCATATGATAATTGTTTGTGGAGGGTGTGCCATTGTTACTCGTTGTGATGGTTTGATGTGTGGCTGGGGGTTGAAGTTGTGCTTCAAATCTTCTTTTCATTTCATAACGATTAATATAAACAATGCCCTCTTGGATTATTAGATTGAAGATGTGGCTTGATAGCTTATTGGTAGGCAGATATCGGTCATCAGCTCTGCAGAAAATAGTTTGGGATAGAGACGTCTTGGTTATTAGGCCCTTATTGGTGCAACTGGAAGGGGCTAAGACAAGTCCAAAAGCTAACTGGCTGAACTCAATGATAAATATACTTTGTGCACCCCCCCGCTGCATGTTTTGTCCTCCAGGCTTGCCATCTTCTCCATTATCCAGTCTGTTGCATCTTTCTCCATCCCCTTTAAAGCACACAAGTAGGTTTCCCCTTGCCATCACACTACCAAATCTGATTGGTCATTAGCAATTCTAGGGTGAGGATTTTGTATTTTTGGGGACTTACTGACAGTCTGGGACACCGATTAGTTGAATGTTTTCTTTCTACATTGTCTCTCTAAGCCTCCCAAGCTTGGTTAATATACTTGAGAGGCCCCTCTAGTCATAGCCAATTGGTTTTGAATTGGATGCTTTAACAGATTTATGCCAAAAGTTGGTTGATCAACTGCCTACTTTTGTTTCTATCCATTTCAATTCACACTTTTTTAACCATTTATGTACTTTTTCACTATTTGTTTGAGTAACTTATGTGGAGCTTGCTTATGATAAACTGTCTTATGTATCTGATGTCTAACTAATTTTGGTTTAATAACTAGTAATTTTCTCAATTTTATTTTCAAATATCTTTAATTGCGGAACCATTATCAGTGATTGATTCTTCAGTTTCTCTAAATGATGGTAGGAAGGTGCGGATATCATATAAGGTATTGCATTTCTATCCAAGTCGCAAGCTCCTAATGCACAGGAAAAAGTAAAAAAAGGATCAAGGAAAAGAATTTCTGGTTGCTATAAATTTTTGCCTAATATTCATAATTTATCCAATTAATAATGTAGGGGGTACCAGGTGCTTATAGTGAGGCTGCTGCACTCAAAGCCTACTCTCAATGCGAAAATGTTCCTTGTAACAAGTTTGAAAATGCATTCAAGGTTGATAATGATGTAACTCTTGTGGGCAGAATTTAGGACACCGCACGGAATTGTAATTTTTCGTAACATTTGAATAGTCTATTTTGTTTTTGTTGACATCTTTTTGTATATTATTAATTATTATTTTTGTGATGACTTCATATAGTGTGAGGACTCCATTTTTGGTAGTAAATGAATTCTAAAAGATGAATTTTTCAGTTCACATGCTGGGTAAACAAAATGAAATGATTGTACACACACAAAAAAAAAAGAACAAGAAAGAAATGATTTGATTCTAATTGTATCCAAAGGCTTCTTAGTTTAAATTGATGTACTCCTTCCTTCTTGTTTGTTCTTGAACATAATTTGCAGGCTGTCAAACTCTGGTTGGCTGATAAAACAGTTCTTCCGATTGAAAATTCTTTAGGTGGAAGCATCCATCGCAACTACGATCTACTCCTTTGGCATAAGCTGCACATAGTGGGTGAGGTTCAGCTGGCTGTTAACCTTTGCCTTCTAGCACTACCAGGTGTTCGAACAGAGCACTTGAAACGTGTTTTGAGCCATCCACAGGTCAGGTTTATTTATTTTATTTTTTTGTTTCTGAGCTGGATAGAGCATTGCTGAATTGAGTTTAATTGACCATTTATAATAAAAAAAGATACCTGCCATTTTTCAGACTTGTCATTCAGATGTCTGCAACTGTTCATCAATCTGGGGTTTTAAAATTTGTCCTTCCCTGGAGGAGCAAATGCTTGAGGTCATTTCCATCATTTTTCAACTTCGTTATGATTACAAGGTTACCAGGAAACAATTGCTTCAGGTCATTTTCATCAACTTTCAACTTTGTTTTGATTAAAGAGTTACCACTGCTCTTAATTTTGATGTTGGATTGAACTTTAGTTTTGAAGTAAGGTTCAGTCTCTTTGCTAGTGAAAATTGAGATGTGAAAATCAAATAAGCTGAAGTAAACTTGAAAATCAACTTCTGTACTGATAAACATATTTTAAACTGTGAATTTGAGCTAGATATCTCTCCTAAAAATGACTAATTCATTACCTTAGAAATTTAAATTTTACACAGGGGGGGGGGGGGAGAATAATATTGCTGAATATATTTTGGCTGGTCATAACAAGTGGACCATCAACTTGTTACCATACTTTTTGGTGGTCATAATTGAGGAATGCTTTCTTTTATATTTTTAGGACATATTTTATAATTTTTCAGAATATATTTCATCTAAACAAATAGTTTCTTATTTGAATGAGTTATAAATCCTTAATTTATTTTTATTTTTTTTCCGGTTTTACAAGATGACAAGTTATTGTTTGCAGGCACTTGCTTAAAGTGATATCATTTAAGTAAGTTGGGTGCTACAAGAGAAAAAGTGAATGATACTGCTAGTGCTGCTCAGATGATCTACAGTTGTGCCTTTGGCATCTTTTTTAACCTTTTTTATACCATAGGAAAACTTCCTGTTCTCATTGTATTAACTTTGGGTCAGTTGGTAGCCTCAAATGAACTGAGGGATGCTGGGGCTGTTGCAAGTGCTCGAGCTGCAGAAATTTATGGGCTAGATATACTTGCTGAGAGAATTCAGGTTAGTTTCTTCTTGACCTGTTTCTAAACTTCAAAGGCTCCAATTGCCTTGTTCTTTTAGCTGCATAAGGCATCTTCAACCTTACCACCATGTCAGTAGGAACTCTCTTATTATCACAAAGCTCATTGAGAAAAAGACATATGGAATGGGATCAAAGAAGTCCGAATGAATCTGTTTGAAATGCCAAGAAATAGGATAAAATAAATTAAAAGAAAAGAAAGAAAGACAAATTGGTAACATTGTAACTTCTATTTTTTGCTTAAATGGAGATTGAAACATTCAATTCAACTTAGTTAAGCTTCACTTCATCATGCAATACAATCCATTATCATATTTTACATTGTAATGTGCATAACATCAGTTAGAGTGCAGTCAGTATTTGTGTGATAGTCTTCTTGATGCAATACCTTATATCATTTATTACCGCATGGGTTCTTTCTGATTCCCTCAAAATCTTGCTTGAAAATAATTAGTTGATTGTTATTTTTCATGATTACATTTGATTTACATTAACCTTAAGGTTAAGACTTGGCCTAAGGTTAGGTGTGTTCTCAATCTTTCCCATTTCAAACGCACATTAATGTGTACTAATTGGGCGTTGTTGTTGTTGTGGTTGTTTTTTTTTTTTTTTTAAACATTTGATTTACATTGTTGAGTTTAGGAGATCGTGATATTGATAATGGGCATGGTTTTGATTGTTGTTGATTGGTGCCTTTGGTTGTGATTGATTTTTTAAGCTATTGTTTGATATGGTCTAAAGACTTACGGTTGTAACTTTTATATAATTTGTTGTAGTGTGGTGAACCAATTGAGTGATTAAATCATATGGCTTGCTTATCTACTAGAGAAATGCATATCACTTTCAGTTGTGATCATCTTTACTCTGTCACTTTGTACTGGTTTATTTTTTAAATATTATTTATTCATTGTAAATATATAATTATTTAAGTAGTTAAATCTTGATTTACAGGTGGAAGATATAGTTGTTCTAAAAAGTATCATTTTTCTCCAAGTCATACTGGGATGCTTGCTACGGGTTCCTATGGTCAAACTACTGCAATCTATAGGGAAGATAATATGGAACTGTTGTACATCTTACATGGCCAACAAGGTGGGGTTAGAGACATGTAAGTGTTCATATTATTGTCATTCATTTTGAATTCTTTCTGCAATATGAACAATTAACCTTTTCAAGCACAACATTCTGTCAGGTGCAATTCCCAAAAGATGGTGACTATTTATATACAGGGGGGCAACAGGTAAATTATTGTGTCGTTCATTTTGAATTCTGCTTCTTTTTTTTTTTTTTTTCCCTCACATGAAATGTACACTATAGGCTAGGTGGAATACAACTGATAGATGGTCCGCAACCATTTGAGCCTATGCAAACTCTACAATTTAATCTTGCATAGTTCATTTAAGGACACATACATTTTCTAAATTTGTTGTCTTTTGGTGTTAATATTTGTTATAAAAAAAATAAAATAAAATAAAAATAAAAATCCATAATATGATATTCTTAAGCTCCATCTTGTACAAAGACAAGCTAGATTCAGGAAACAATTCTAGATAGCTTGCACTCCTACTGATCTTATGTTATGCCAATTGTCCATAAAATAGGATAACACCATCATAATATAATGATAATGGAGTTCAAATAATTAATGTAGACTTTCTTCCAGGCTTAGTTGTTCAATTAAAGCAAATGGATTTGTTTTTATGTTCATCTCCAAGCTATTTATTAAACCTTGTAATTGCTCTCTTATTTTGTCCTCCGTGAGCTATCTAGTTGCAGCTTACCCTTTAATGAACCTTATCATTATTTTTATAGCTGGTTATTATATGCTAACGTCTGGATAATAAGCATGCATTTGACCAAAAAAATTATCCTCAAATTTGTTATAGGACCCTTACATACTCTGCTGGGACATACGCAAAGCTGTTGACATTGTGTTTAAGTAAGTACTGTTTTACTTTATTGGAATGGAAGTTCAGTACATGTGCTAACATAGGTATTGTTTATTGGAGCCAATAAAAAAAGGAAAGTAAGGAGGGTATTGTTTATTGGATTTGCCCACCGGCACCTATAAATATGTAACCTTATTTATCACATACACACATACAAGTATTTTTTTCAAAATAAGAGGAATTTATTCTAAGTTGTCCTTTTCAGTTCACTTCAAATTATCATATGCTTTTTTTTTTCCCTCCGGTGGGGATGGGAGAAGTTTTGGGCTGATGCTCACTCTTGGGTATGATGTAACTACATTTTCCAGTCTGTATTGCTTTAAATGGCTTGTTCTTTCTGTTCATGCAAGTTTTGGATTACCCTCTTTAATCAGTCAATTTAAAGAAGGGCTTTGACTGATTGTTTTTCCTGTGTGCATCCTGTAATTAGGCTGTATCGATCTTCAGAAAATACCAATCAGCGGATACTGTTTGATATTGATCCTTTTGGTCAGCATCTTGGTACAGGCAGTGAGGTATTATTCTAGTGTTCATCCTCGTCCCTTTTCCAAGTATGATGCTAAGCAGTTCAATGCTTTAATGTTCTTGTATTCTTTGCTTTCAGGACGGATTGGTTCAAATTTATAATCTCCAAATGGGGCAGTGGGTATCAAGCTTTCAAGCTGCACTGGGTAATACTTGTCGCGCAATGTTTAGTTTGCAGTACATTCTTATTTTCTTCTATTTCTAATGAATTCATATTCCTTCCCGTTCAGACACTGTCAATTGCTTTTCATTCCATCCATTTCTGCCAATGGCAGGCTCTTCATCAGGGAAGATTTGTAAGCTTCGATGATTCTCTCGAGGACTTCAGCTTGAGTGGTATCTCCTTTCCTTCCTATGTTTACTTTTCCCATTCCTTTCTTCTAATAATTGTGTTTGTTAAATTTGTAGTACACTCCTTTTGTTTTGGCGGAAAAGGTTTTTCGACCAAATAATATATATATATATATATTTTTTTACATTTTCTGGCTTATGGTATGATGGAAATAAAAGTCAACAGATATATTTCTGTGATTAACGGATAATTAGTTGATTTTGGCAAAAAAATGTTTTTCTTTCTTTAAATGCAAGACGCTTTCTAGATTAAAATGTTACCAATGCCACCATTATAGAACCACAACGACCCCCCTACCACCGCCACTCCTGCCACTGTTACCCTACAACCACTGCCACCCTACCACCACAACCACAACCACCACGACCACCACCTACCTCAGCATTTTCAAGGTCACAACAAAACACACGAAAATGGTATTTTTCGAACATTTAAAAAAAAAAACATTTTCCTCAAAAAGATGTTTTCTGTAAGAAATTGAATTCCACCAAAACAAATATAGCATTTGTACTATTGGTTGTTCGAATTTTGTCTTTTCTTTTATGATAAGACTAGTTAGGAAGAAAATGTGCTCAATGCACATGATATTCATTACTAATCATCTGTTTTTCGTGTTTGTACTGCATAGGTGATGAAAATTGTGCTTCCATTTGGAGTTTCGCTTATGCTTCAATGGCGGACAATGCTACCTGCATGGATTCTGGAGATTCAAACCTTTGCCAGGATCCTTGTATTGTTTGCAAGTTACAAAAAAGACTTAGACCCCCTTTTGGCAGCCACCCCCACGACCCCCTCTGCCTCTCATTGGTTGAAATTTTTTTTTATTTTTTTTTATTTTTTTTCTTCTCCCCCACTCACCAACCCCCACGTGTGTGTGGGGGTGGTGAGGGTGGGAATCTGAGGGGGTCTGTATCTGCTCTGTTGCAAGTTATTTGTATAATTGCATTTACTATATTATAAACTTAATTATGAGCAAGTAAGGTTGGTCTGATGTTCGATTTCTGTTGTATATTTACTAGCTTCAGTTCATGGACAGGTCCATTCGGTAATACTTAAGAGCCAGTTTTCTTGAGCTGATATTGAATTTGATGTCAACAAAATTGCTCATTTGATAAATAACAACAGATATTAGACGGTAGAACAAAGATGAACTTTGCGACTCAATTATGTTGGATAATTTTCACTGTATTACGAATAAATTATGTTTGTGTAGTTAATAACAAATAGAAGAAATAAAGAAAAGGGAGATTGTTTGATTACAAAAATCAAACCAGTAAATAAAAATAAATAAACAAAAATAGATTTTTATTTTGTTACAAAAATCAAATTAAAATTTGATATTAATAAATAATAAAACAGAAAATAAATCAACAACTTACTTTATTAATTTCTCAAACAAAGTTTTGATTAAGTCTAGTGTTTAATACTGTATTCGTAAGACAGATTTGTCTTCTTCACAGTGTTTTTAGATTGTGGACGTTTATTTTTCAGGATAAAATAATCAACAGTAAATAGCAGTAGCACTACAAACTATTCACGCAACGAACACACTTAGTGTTTACACTTATACTCTTTCTCACAAGGAAAATAATGTAGCAAAATGCAGAGAGCAAAATTAGATTTTTGGACGTAAATTTAGTATGAAAATCAATTGAGGGACTACCTATTTATAGATGAAAAAGTGGTTGGTTAGTTTGAATTAAACAGGTGCAAAACCTGTTTGAACAGTTATAATACCTGTTCAGACAGATAAGAAACTATTTGGTTTGAATTTGTTTGGGTTTTGAATTTTGAACAGATTTGGATCTGTTTGGACAGATATGGAGCCTATGCAGAAATTTTGAAGAGGTGCAAAAATTGAATTTTTCAATTGAAATTTAAATTCAAACGGTCAGAATTTATTTTTCAAAAATAAAAAATAAATTCAAATGTTTTTGGCCAAAAAAGAGTTAGTATTGAGCCGAACAAGCCCAACCCAACCTCACACCATGCACTCGCGCCCAGGCCCAGGCCAGCTCGCCCGAACGGCTACGGCGCTCGTGTTTATTTTTGGGTCCAGTGGGTCTAGTCCAATTTGCTCATAACCTCTCTCTTCTACAAACTTAGGGTGCCCCTTGGGGCCCTCCTCAAGTTACAGACCCATGCCTTATAAACTCACAAAAATTTGCCCACCAAACCAATATGGGACAAGCCTTAAACCAAACCTTAAGAAATTTCTACCAAAAACTCCATTTCCATAGAGCTCACTTTAGCTTCAATTTTCCATTCACCCAATAATGGTTTTGAGTAACCAAATATACTACGTGAATCACAACGTGGCATAGAACGCGTTACCACTTAGACCCACCAACTTTGGCGCACCGGTCCCACCTAAAAAATAGACCAAAGTTAAGGAAAAATCTATTTTTTCAAAACTTCCAAAACCCATTTCTAATAAATTATTCTTTGCAACTCTGGTTTGACTTCGATTCGAATCTCACGGCCTATTTTAACTTGAATCCAAAGTCCTAACCAAGATCTAACTTTGATAAGGATACTAGTAGTGGCATTGGTGGCGGCAACGCTAGAGAGAGAAAGATAGAGAGAGCTAGATTGGCAATGTCGATCTATTTATATCTCTCGGATCGATTTGTAACGACGGCGAATCCACCACCACCACCACCTCTGCTCCTCCTCTGTCTAGAGCAAGGTTTCGAAAAGCGGTTGTTGTCGCCGTAACGGTTGTGGTGGCGCTATTGCGGTTGCGAGTATAAAGGCCATAGCGTAACGGTTGCGGTAACTGGAACCGTGATTTTATTTATTTATTTTTTGCACAATTTGAAGAAAACTTACCAATGCGCATATTTTTTTTTTCTAGAATCACATTTATTAGAGTATAAAATAGACTTTGATAAATTTTTGTTAATTTTTAAGTATGATCCAATATATTTCATATTTTCAAATCACTATAAAATGAGTTTTTTACATTTTATTTCAATAGTTAATGACTTTTAAGAATAATTAATGTTAAATGTCCATAAATTATTTTTGACCAATATCTGAACTAATTGAATAAAAAATATTCACAATTATTAAATGAAATGATTATAAAAACAAAAATAGTACCATAAACAAAAATTATTTTTGACGCATTTTTTTAGACACAACTGTACAAGTAGCTAAATAAAATTATTTATAATTAAGTATTAAATGAAATGATTATAAAAATAAAAATTGTGTCATAAACAAAAAATATTTTTAAGTTTTTTAAAGATTTTTTTTAGACAACACATTATGGTAACAAAATAAAAAATATTTATAATTAAATATTAAATAAAATGTTTATAAAAATAAATACAACTACTATTTATATATTTTTATTTTACATGCTAATGTAATGAAATAAAAAATAAAAAAATTATAAAGAAAATAAATTCATATAAGATTTTTTCTTTGGGCTTGGATCACTTGAGTATTTGTTCTTTTTTTTTTGGGGGTAATCTTTTATTTATTTATTTATTTTGGAAAATGAAGTTATTCAGAATATTATAAAAGTATGTAATGGTGTGTAACGGGAAGTTACGGTTGTTACGGAACCACTACGACCATTACGTAACAGCGAAACGACCGTTTTGTAACACCAAAACAGCCGTTACATATGTGAATTTTCGTCACACCGCTATAGTGGTCGTAATGGGTGGCGGTAACTATCACAACCGTTACGTAAACGTAACTGTTGTGGCCACTTTTTAAAACCTTGGTCCAGAGTCTTTGGAACTGAGAGAGAGAAAGAGATGAGCAATGAGTTAGAGGCAGAGAGGAGGCGGTGACAGTTGTGGCGAAGATGGCACATAATAGGGTTTAGATCGAAGAGAGAGAGAGAGAGATGAGACTGTTCATTTGAGAAATATAGGGTTTGGTTGGTATATATATATTGGTAATTTGGTCATTTTGCAGTAAGTCGTTCTTATTGACAAGGTATTTTAAAGTGTAAACCTTTGATCAAAAAATTTTTAAAATTGAATTTATGAATCAAGTGCCTTTTTAAATATTAAAAAATACCACCCAAAACACATGGTAATATTTACCTCAAATAATTACTCAAAAACTTGCTATTAAATGGAAATAAAATCACAATTAAAAAGTAAATAAATTTAATTGAGATTCATTTCAAAATTCATCTTTCAAGTGTATCACCAAAAACTTACAGTGAGACACCGTGTTTGATGTAGGAGTGTAAAAATGGCCCGTAACTCGTGGGCGGCTCGAACCTCGCCCGCTGCCTAGAGTGGGCTTGGCCTGGTTAGGCCCGGGCCCAAGCCTAGCCCCAGACCTTGGGCTTAGGCGTAGGCTATCATTTTGAAGCCCGACTCGACCCACCAGTCCGCTCAAAGCCTGGTTCGAGGCCCGGCCTGTGCCAAGATCCAGTGTCATTTTTTGGTAAAAAAAAAAAAAATTTGGTGAAAAAAAATAGAAAAAAAAAAAATGTTCAAGCCCTATCTAAGCCTGAGCCTAGACCTAGGCCCACCGGATTGCCCAAGGTCCAAATACCTCTTCAGTCTGGACCTAATTTTCTTGCGCGTGGGCTGGCGTCGCCCGAATTTTACCGGGAGCCTGTGAGGCCCCACATGGGCCAACCGGAGCCTAGGCTTGAATGGACCAGACCGGCCAAATTTACACTCCTAGTTTGAGGCGTAATTGACCCTGTAAATGTAAAAGTTATCTAGTAGGTTGGGAAGGATTCTATTTTAAATTTTTCATCATTTTAAAAGTATTTTTTTACACAATTTTAAATATTAAATAATAGTAGTAATTTTTTTTTTTTCTTTTTAGACGCACCTAAAAAGTAAAATATTTATGAAAAATATAAAATAAATTCAATTAATACACAATAATATAAAAATGCACTGAATTTTTATATTTTTTGTATTCAGTGAATTTTTTCGTATTTTTTTATTATCTGTACGGGCACGAAATATTCCTCCCGTATAATCCTGTTGATCCAGTCTGCGCTTCTCCGTACGTCGTCGCTTTACTCCCTGTAGACACCCCATTTTTGACCGACCTTAAGACTCAGACGTCACTGATTAAGCGCTCGGTGATATTGCATATTGTGCTCGTCCAGAAGTTTCAGAGTCCCGGCTGCAAGCCTTGCCTCTGGACTTCCGGACTATTTCGTGCCTTGCCTTGGTTTGCGAACCAGGCTCTGTTTTCTCTTCCCGAAGGAAGGGAGAGGTCTCGTGGATCATCTCTCGGTGGCCGTAGGCTATGTTTCGTGGTCGTAGGCCATTTTTCCCGTTTGGAGCCCGGTTTCCGGTTTTTCGGAGCCCACGGCCGTGTGCCTCAGTTCGGGACCGCTTAACCACCTCCGTTTGCTCTGGTTTTTGGCATACACCTTATTTCCTCCCTTTTGAGGAACACTGTGGCCCGAGAGACCAACTTCGTGGTCGAACGCCACCTCCGGTGCTTAACAGCCCATTTTCGGGGCCTCGGGCCGCGCGTTTCGGTCCCCGAACCTCCGTTTTGCATCCGTTTTGGTTCATTTTTGGTGGAGACCTTATTTTCATAGTTAGGAAGCTTGTAGGAGGGTGGGAGGCCAGCAATTGTTCTGAAAAACCAGCTTTATTCCTTCATCGTTCTCCGACGCCCGTTTTCCTCACTTGAAAGCCAATGTTGACCACCTCGGGGCCACTTTCTTGAACCCTAAACCCCATATTTGTGTTGTACACACCTGGGAGTCCACCAATATCATATGGCCGGCCAGTAAT